GCCCCCCCGCCCCCCATGAATTCCCCTCCCACGGATAAGAAAAAACTGACATCTTGGATGTCTCTATGGACTAAAAAAAAATTTTTTTCACTGCAAGGGTGGGTAGGCATTAAGGGAACAGGCAGCTCATGTCTCAGCCAGTTCTGCCTACTAGAAAGGTCTTCCCGTTCACCCCACTTCTGCCTGGCTGTAACCACCCACCTCCCGTCATTCCTGCCATCATAGAGACCAGGCAGCCTTACCCCACATCACACCCCCTCACCCACCAGCTGAAGGGAACAGGAAACGCCCACCGCGTGTGTGCCTGGCCCAGGGTGAGCGGGGGATTAAAACAGGAGGGAGCCCGAGCAAAGGCTGAATCCTGGAGAAATGCGGACAGGGGCAGCAAAGGGCAGGGCAGGTAGAGGGAAGAAGGCGGGAAGAGAAAAGAAGGCGGAAAGTCATGCCACCGAGACTTGGTGAGGTCCCGGGGGATCCAGAGGGATACAGATTGAGCGTGTGAGGCTGGGACGTTTTGGAAAGCGGCTCCACAGGCTCAGAGCGGGACGGCTTGCAGGATAGACTGGGGCTGACGTGGGACAGCAAAGGCCGCTTTGGCCAGGTGAGGGGTCAGGGTTGACGGAGGGAGGAGACTAAACAAGGCCTGTGGGCCCGGTTCAGGTGCGTCCGGTTCACCGGAGCTGGTCTGGCGAGGGCCGGGCCCTGTTGGGTGAGGGAAAACCCCGAGCCTGTCTTCCAGGGAAAGGTTCCGCCCGCACCGACACGCCGGGCTCCGGCAGCAGCTCCAGCGCGCAGGCCAGGCAGAGGCGCGGGGACACGGGTAGCAGCCAGCGCGGGTCGTGCCGGTAATGGGCCCTCTCGAAAAGCAGCAACGCCTCTTCGTCCCTCCTAGGTCCAGCATAGCTTGCCGCCGCCGCCGCCTGCCTCACAGACATCGCCTCGCTCGCCCTCCCTGAAGTGAGTGGCTCGTTTTCCCGCGCAGCTTTTGCGCAAGCGCATTTGGAAAAGAAAGCTGCGCCTGTGGGGAGTGCGCCTGCGCGGAACTAGGGCGCCCAACCCTCCGGAAAGGGCGGCCCCTAAGGGCGAAAGGGCGCAAGGGCTCTGGAGCGTGTCTAAGACAAGGCCAAAGCGGTTTGTTCTTGGAGCCGGCGGGAATGAGTCTTCACATCGAAGGTTGAAAGGCATTTATAAGGTAGTTGTCATTAGCCTTGAAAAAGGAAGGAAGCAATTTCTATTTTTTAAATAAAATAAAAACTCTCAGGGATTTTTATCTAAAAGCAATTAGAATTATTTTGAATTTACATTACACCTTTCTCTCAAAGAATCTAAGACACACTTTTATTTTTAAATTCTATTTATTTATTTTATTTTTTTTTTAGTAGGAGTCTCTCTCTTTTTTTTTAATGAATCGGAGTCTCACTCTGTCATGATCACAGCAACCTCGACTTGCTGGGCTCAGGCGATCCTTCCACCTCAGCCTTCCAAGAAGCTGGAACTACAGGTGCGTGCAACCAAACCGGCTAATTTTTTTTGGATTTTTTGTAGCAACAAGGTCTTGCCAATTGGACCAGGCTGGTCTCAAACCCCTGGATTCAGGAAATCCTCTCGTCTCTGCCTCCACTGCACCCAGCTAAAACGCACTTTAAAAAAATATTCTTTTGGGCCATGCTTGGTGGCTCAGCCTGTAATCCTAGCACTTTGGGAGGCTGAGGCGACTGTATTGCCTGAGCCCGCAGGTTCAAGACTAGCCCGGGCAACTTGGTGAGACTTCATCTCTACAATAAATCAAAAATTAGCCAGGCGTAGTAGCATGCACCTCTAGTTCCGACTACTTGGAAGGCTGAGGCAGAAGGACTGCGGATCCCAGCAGGTCAATGCTGGGGTGGCTGTGAGTGTGCCACTGCCCTCCAGCTTAGGCGAGGGAGTGAGACTCCAATTCAAAAAATAAATTAAAAAACAAATTCTAGCTGGGCTCGGTAACTCAGCCTGTAATCCCGCGCTTTGGGAGGCTGAGGTGAGTGGATTGCCTGAGCCCGCAAGTTCAAGACCCGCCTGGGCAAC